CGGCCCGTGGCTCACTCGGGAGAGTGTGGTGCTAATAACACCAAGGCCACGGGTTCGGATCCCATATAGGGATGGCCGGTTCGCTCACTGGCTGAGCGTGGTGCTGACAACACCAAGTCAAGGGTTAAGATCCCCTTACCGGTCATCTTTAAAAAAAAAAAAAAAATCTCAACAGGGATGACTTTTCTCTCATGCGGACTCTATGCTGCTTTAAAATGCTGAAAGTTTCACTCTACTGAGTAGAAGCCAGCTGCCGCCCCGCAGAGGCGGAGGCGAAGGCGAGGACGAGCCGCGGTGCTCCCTCCTCTGCTCCGCCCTCCTCCGTGCGCAGGTGCAGCCCCGCGCCCCGCTCACTCCCGGCCCCGACGCCCTCACTTTGAATCACGTAATTCTCTCTCTCTCTCTCTCCGCTGTTTCCTGGTAACTATCAAGTTCCTCTCAAAGTCATTCAACAAGCATTCACCGAGCCCCTCCTCCAGGCCGGGCTCCCAGCGAGGCAGCCGCAGGTTTCCCTCAGGCCAGCTGAGGCGCCCCTGACAGGAAATGTCGGGCTTCCGGCTTCCAGGGCTCCGCCTGGGGCCTGGCATGGGAAGAGCCAATCAACGGCCACCACGGACAGAGTCCCTCCCTCCAGCCTCCTCCCGTCGGCCCCTTGGACACGTCTCCATTGCAACTGCCCCTTCTCCTCAGCAGGCCACAATCATCCATCCCCTAGCCAGGGTGACTCCTATCGGGCCCCTCCACCTCCAGTGTCCCTAAGCTCCATCCCATCTCCACGCTCCAGCTGGAGCCATCTTTCTAAAATGAAATCGGGCGGTTTACTTACCCTGCTTCAATGCCCCTCACCTGCACTCACTTTCCCCACTATTGCTGCTCTTAATACAAGTTCTAAACTCTAACTTGGCTGCGTGACTGGCTCTTCTTAAGCTCTCCAGCCTCATCCGTTACCCCTTACGTGTTTATATATGTATTTACTCCATGAGTTCCGGTGGAGCACTTTCTATGTGTCAGGCACCAGGCTGGGCGCAAGGGATACAACCATGAAAGAGACGCAACCTGTAGGCATGGAAGTCAGTCTTCACCATAGCTGCTGTGATCTGGCTACTTAGAGTGTGATACATGAACCAGCAGCAATCGGCATTATCTGGGAGCAGAACCTCAGACCTTTCGCGAGACCCACTGCATGGAAATATGTGTTTCAATTCGCAGGGGAGTTCCTATGCCCGTCAAACTGAGAAGCATTGCTTCGTGTCTCTTGAATCCTATGTGCTGTCTCTCCTCTGCTGCCCCCTCCACATGCATTTCATCAGCCTTGGGATACTCTTTGCCCTGTTCTTTGCCTAACTCCCACCTACAATTCAGTTTCTGCATACATTTCATATCTGCTAGAAAGACTTCCTTCTCTGGTCTCCTAAATTGGGGCTAAGTGACCCGTTTATGTGGTGTCATCATCAAAGCACTTACAGCTTTGTACTGTGGGTGCTGCCCCACCCCTGCAAATGGTGTAAGAGCAGACACTGTGTCTGTCTTTTCATGACTGGGTCCCTAGCAGCGAGCCCAGTGTCTGACAGAGTAGTTGGTCAATAAACAGATACTGAAAAGACACAGAATCCAGTGCAACTATATAATTCCCAGGCTTCATGAGTAAATTAAAGTTTCTAAGTTATCCCAGAGAGGGTGGGATTCGGAGAACAACTCTCTAGGTGTAGTGAGTAGGTTCCTGGGAAGAAATCAACACTATCTGTATCATTTCCCCAATTTCATACCTCATGTTTTACGTACAGTTTTACGTACAGGTTTAGCCTTATATAGAGTCCCTGGCTCACTAGCAACTTTGTGTAAATTAGAAAAAGAAACTCCTTCCTCAGCACACATGAAATTCCAGACCAGGGTGCATGGAGGAAGGACTCAAGGCTTAGAGAATCTACATGTTAAAATACAGTCATACCTTACACAGAGTATATTTTCTAATGTTAAAGGCAAAGGTAAAAACTGGGATAACAATTACTCTTAAAAATGCCTTAACATCACCCATAAAGAAGAGTCCCATGCCCAGACTGACATGCCACTTTGGAAACTCATTCATCCTTCAATAGCCCATCAAAACTTCCAGGGAGGGAAGAGAGGCGGCTGGATCTTTGTTAGCCCATCATTTGAAGTAGTTGGCTTACAGGCATAGGACATGTCTACTAAAGTACAGAATTTCAAATACCAGAATCGCTTTCAATGCAGTAAGATACAATAACAGGCAGGGCCTCTAGTCCTGGAGACAGCTGGGGAACAGCAGATGCCCTTCTCCCATCTCATACTCTCTCTGGGGCATATGCCCACTAAAGGGAATGGCAAGTGAAATCACTAACTCAATTTAAATTATGTCTCTCTTTCTCTCCCTTTTGTGCCAAACATGTATAGTTAAGTTTGGGCAAGTTAAATGCACAGACTAATGAAGCTTGAAAACTCTGAAGCAAAATATAAATGCAAGGCATTCTTCATGTGATACGCCTCCACAGTCAGTTCACAGGGAAAGGCACGCTGTTCAGTACACAAATCTGCCAGTGTGGAAAACCTTGAACTTATGCCATTAGCTCAGGGCACAGGTGCAGACCATGTCTTCCCCATGAGAAGCCACTGCTGGTGTGCTCCTGTAAAGAGCTGTTGCTTTGAGTTGTGTTTCCCCATAGTGGAAGGACTGGCATGGAGCCCTTCCCAGTTTCTCACCTCTTATAACTAATAACAGGGTAGAAACTAGACCCGCTGGCTGAGGGAGTGAGCTGGAGCAAGGCAACAACTCCAGCGTGAAAACTGTGGGAACAACCCTCTTGGACTCCTTGAGGGCCAGAGCTAATCTCTCAGCTCAGCATCTGCACAGGCCACCAAGCAAACAGTCCTCTTTGTTGTCTGTTCCAACACTCCGGACTGCAAAATGTCACAGCCCCTTCCAGATAAAAGCAACATGTGTTCTTTGCTTTCCAGAGCAAAACACATCACTCAGACCTGCACGCCACCAAAATAAACACTTATCCTCATGCGTCATCTGGGCCACTCTGGAAACGTTCTATTGAATCAATAATCTACCAGTCAATCCCACATATGAAAGAACAGGATTCTTTACAAACAAAACAGTATTTTTAAAACAGAAACGAGCATTATTCAATACCTCTGCAGCCCTGCTTAGGCCACATGCCTCACCCTCCATACTTCTAATATAGCTAATCTCCACTCAAGAGAAAAGCAAGTTTTATACTTGTGTATGGCTATTGACCTAAAAACTTCATTAACATACTTTTTGAAAGTAATTGTAGCTAAACAAATACAAATTAACAATGTATTGCTGTTAATACTATCTTCTGGGGTCACCAGGGGAATAAAATTTTATTCAGAAACTCTTAATTACGCACCTACTGGTGTTAATTGTTGTGCTAGGGGCTGCGGAAGATAGACACAAAGATGAACTACACAAAGTTTCTGTCCCACCTTTTCCCTCCCCCTTTAAGAAGGCTTAAAGTCTGTAAGTGCCTTAAGCCAGCAACTCACCACAAGAAAACCAATAGGAAAAACACTAGCTCTTGGCAGTGAAATAAATGAAGTCTTAATTGGTTAGTGACAAGAACCTCATCAAATGTTCCTGTGAGGAACAGTGAAACTGATCAATCCATAATATTTACCCCTATGTACACAATGGCTTCAAGTAACAATATTTAGCTGACGGGAGAGAAGAAAAATCAGGACAGCAACAGAGGGAGAACAGATATTTACTGTTCCAAACACATAAACATATGGTTCAGAATGTTCCGAATACTCACTGTTCTTCTTGTACATCAAAATTTCAAAGGAATTCATCTCATAGTTCTCAAAGGTTTGCCGCACTTTTTCAATTGTGTCTTTATCAGTCAACTCTCCATACATAAAACTGCAAATCAACCAAAGGGTTCAAGTTAGATTAGCAGGTATTTATTATTCTACAAGCAAATGTTAAATGTGTTCTTTACCCAGTACTGGGCTATGCCCTCTGGAACACACACAAACACACAAAGTGAAAACACTCATTGAATCAAAAAAGATGTACTGATTCAACTGTGAATAAGACTCCATCACTGCCCCCCCAAAACTAACAGTCTAATGAGAGATACACATTAGAAAACAGGAGATTAGCAAATGGTATGATCTATGCTGTGGTGGTAGCACGCATAAAGAATTACAGAACACATAGAATAGGCACAGAGCACTCTCTGGGTGGTTAGAGAAGACTTCCCAGAAGTAAGGATAAATAAGATTTAAAGAGCAGGGGGAAATTAGCTGAGAAAAGGAGGGAACAGAACATTTTAAGCTAAAGATGAGCATGTGCAAAGGCAAAGAGGTGAGAGGGTAAGTCCAGAATCTGAATGTAGCTCAGTTCAGTATGACTGGAATATAGGCAATGAGGGAAAAGTTTGCAACAGATAATATAAAGAAGGAAACAGAGGCCAGATCATGGAGGAAACTATGGCATTATAAGCCATGTGAAGTAATTTAAACTTTATCCTGCAAGCAATGAGGACATATGGGAGGGTTTTTAAGCAAAGGAGAAAAATCATCAGATTTCATTTTAGAAATGCACCTCTGAGAGACTTCCTGGCAAAGATGGCCAAGTAAATTTGGACCGCAGGTTTTTCTCTTCTAAATCTCAGCAAAATAAATCAAGAAAAAGGAAAAAAATCACAAAAATTCACCAACCAAATAAGAATAGGGATGCAATTTGAGGCTCTAAACATTAAGACACAGCTAAGTAAAGAAACAGAAGATTCAGCCACTGTCTGTGCATCTTTTTCCTACCCCCCCAAAAAAAAAAGAAAAACAGCATTGGATTAAAAAAATTGAAACAATAAAATCCTACACATTCTTACTAATATCCCTCCCTGTTCCACAACTTAAGAGAAAAGTAGATTAAGGGGGTAAATAAGCAGCACATAAAGAAATTAGAGGAAACCTTGGCACAATAGAAGCTCTACCTACTAAAACTGGTTCTCAGCAGAGACAGGAAAACTGCCAGGACTGTCCATTTTCCTGGGATCCACACAGTATATGGTCCAAAGACCAAGGTTTGTTCCTATGGGAACAGGATACATGCCCAAAGTAGAACAAACCATGCCCCAGGACAAAAACAAAATGTGAGAGGAGAAAGGCCATCTCTCAATGGGGCTGGAAAGTCCAGTGCTCTGATGAAGGGCTGCCCATGGGCTGGGCTAGCATTGCCCCTGACCACCCCAGTTCTTCAGGCAACAATAACAAGGAAGGACAGCAACAACCACTCCTCAAGTCTTAGGTGATGCAGAAACAGTGGCATGGGTTCCTAAACAGGACACTTTCCATCTTCTAAAACTGTGCATACTGAATATAATTTAACTTTTTCTTGATGACTTCAATAATAGAATTATAGAATTTCAGAGCTACAAAGAACCTCAGACGTTATCAAGTTGTAATTCCTGATCTAAAACTGAACCACCAAGTCAAGCACCATGCTTAGCTTGATACTAGAACAGCCTTCAGCTTACTAAAGGCTTCTAAATTCTGGCACCCAGTAAGAAAAGAGTCCTCACTGTTCACTTTGTTAATTCTGTGTCACTTTTGTTATTTTATGTCCCTTCTCAGCCTAATGAGAGATTATCTGTGGTTGTCCTTGTATGTATCTCATGTAGTACTCTGTTTGGGGGTTGTACTCTTTACCTGTAAATCAGGAAAATAGAAATTTGAGCTTGTTGAATTACCTTTAAAAAGAAGAATAGACTGGGGCCGGCCTGGTGGCGCAATGGATAAGTGCGCCGCTTGGGAAGCGCAGCGGCGCTCCCGCCCGAGGGTTCGGATCCCACATACAGACCGGTTCCCGCTCACTGGCTGAGCGAGGCGCGGGAGCAACACCGAGGGTTGTGATCCCGTTGCCGGTCCCCGGTCCGGTACGGGGGCGACACTGAGGGTTGCGATCCGTTGCCGGACACGGAAAAAGACAAAAGACAAAAAAAAAAAAAAGAAGAATAGATTGAGACTAATTTAGTCCTACCTGAGAACAAGAGGATTTCTCCTCCTCCTCTTTCTGAGTAATTTTCTAGGTAAGGTGACCTCCATCTAAGTGAAGTGATGGTATACATGCTAGCAATTTCCTTCACAAGGTAAAACAAAACCCTGTAAAGTTGACTCTTTAAATAAATGAAATGCCATAATTACACCCAGATTTCATTAGGCTTATGTACTTTTTCAAGCTGTAATTTATTGGTAGGCATATGCTTCTTTTACCTGGACATTAGATTGCAAATGCCTGCAGTGCATGAAATAAGTAAAAGAGGCTCCTGATCTATCAGGAATATAGCTAGCACAAAGGTCTATTTATTTCTAGAGAAAGAGCATCTTCAGGTAACTAAATAAGTTGCTTAGAATTGTGCGTAAAAGAAAAGTTAGCTAAATTAGCAAGTTGTTTTATCTCATTTTCTTAAAGTGTCTGATTATAACCAGTAAGAAGGAAAAAAGGTAAGGAAAGGCTGTTCAAGTCACACTAAAAAGTGAAGCTAGGGCTGGCCCGGTGGCGCACTGCTACAGTGTGCCGCTTGGGAAGCGTGGCAGGCGCTCCCGCCGAGGGTTCGGATCCCACATACAGACCGGTTCCCGCTCACTGGTTGAGCTTATTCTGATTATGTATACAACATATCTGATTATGTATTATGTATAGAAGTAGATGCAGATATATAAATACCTGAAGATAACAGCACACAAAGAATATAAGACAATTCTATTGCATTGAGTTATAACTTCTAAACCTTTGAACAGTGGAGGAAAAAAACTTAAATTTCTCTGTCTCAAAAATCTAAAATTTAATAAAATGGATATATTTTCAAAACACTTAGTAGTTTTCACTAAACTAAAGTTACCTGGCTGATTTAATACAGTAACTTCTGAAAACAGAAGACTATGTCTGGTCTGACAGGCTTCTCCACCCATCATAGATGAATTTATTTCTTGATTTGGCAGGTTTGGAAAGTCTATTGCACTTCATGCAAACACCACTGAACACAGAAGACAGAAGAGGGAGAGGGGCGAGAGGATTTGAAGGCTATGCTGAGCCAAGATCACACCAGGGCCCAGCAGGGGGGTACCTAGCAGGATCCAGGTTACATGCCCGGCTCAACACCTTGAAGATGCCTTGAAAGAGCTTTTCTAACACCACAGCCCAAGGGCACTGCCTGGTTAGTAACCCTGTCGGATACACAAGCTGCGCTGTTGGCACAATTTGCTAAGAGATCAGAGAGAGAGATGTAACAGCATGGATTCAAAGGCAACAAAATATTGATTCTCTTCTCTTTCTGAAGTAAAGAATTTTGGCTGAGGAAAAGCTCTATGAACAAGGTCCTTGTCTCCAACATTGTAGTTACTTTTCTAAAATGTTCACAAATTTTTAAAAATTAATTTTTCTAAATTTTCATTTCATTTTATTTGACTCTCTAATGTCCACATTTTATTTATCTAAAACTTCATAAACTTTCGAGTTCACATTTTACAGATAAAATGGTTTTCTTGAGTTTTTCTGGGTTTTCTCCCATCTTCCTGACTGCAAGTTTGTCGATTGTGGGGACCATGTTTTACATCTGCTTTGATTTTCCCAATACAGTGAATGAACTACAAAAGATACTGTGATAAATATTCCTGAATAAACACTGAATGAGACAAAGGCAATTCCCAACCTGAGTAAGCCATTTTCTTTTTCCAAAAGATACCATGATAGATTGTTCACCAGAACAACCCCAAACATAAATACCTGCAGGTACTGCTTTTTTGCATCACTTCTGCCCTGTGATAGCCAGACAGCTTGCAAAATCCATCATTGCTGTACACAATAGGCCAGTCCACTATCTGGGCATTCCCCAACACAAAATTAGTATCTGTTAAAAAGAAAAGAAAAGGACACGTGAGGCAAGACATTAGTTGAGATTCAATGAGGACAAAAATTTTGTCAAGAAATTTAGGTATTTCTGCTTCCCTCCAAAATACAGTCTCTTGAACAAGAATATAGCCCTGTGAGGACTACAAAAGAACAGTGCTTTAGAACTGAGTATTTTGAATGCAAATGATGACTAAGGTCACTGTACTCCAAGAAGTTAGCAAAGGAGGCATGCTCAACCAACCAACCAAAGAATCCTGCAGAAATCCAGAGGATTCCCACGAGACATATTCAAGTCCTAATCCTTCAACCCAGTGAAAGCATACTGATAATACAAAGCAAGAGAGAACTCAAAAGTAATTTCTTCTGGGCTCTCTCTCCAATCTTAGTCTGGTCAGTCTTTTGGCCAGAAACTACAAATTGGGCTTTGGGACCCCGACTAGCATTTGCCCAACCTAAAAGAAGGACTTCTTAGAGAGGCAGAGGAAGGGGATTGAGCACCGCCTCACGGAACACACACCATGGAACACTACTCCTTTGGTAAGTAGTAGTGACCAGACCCTCCAAACACCAGTGCTTTGTAGACACTGATCAAGACACTCCCACGATAGAATCTTCTTGCTGATTTTGAAATTTTGCAGCCTCAAAGGTGCATTTTGGGGCTCTTTCACAGAGCAGCAGCTCTTTCATGGAGTACCTTATTCACTTACAATGCAGGGTTTAAGTAAGCCAGATATGTTTGTCTGGTTTAGTGTGTTTTCACTACTTACCACATTTTTTCCCCCACTTCTGAAGATCAAAAGTCTTCAGTACTTTTTCTGCTCAGGAAATCAACTGTCCCTCCTTTCTTTTCAAGAACTTAATTAAGGGCCAGCCCCGTGGCACTCAGGAGAGTGCAGCGCTGGGAGCGCAGCAGCGCTCCCGCTGTGGGTTCGGATCCTATACAGGGATGGTCGGTGCGCTCACAGCGCTCACTGGCTGAGCGCGGTGTGGCCGGTCTCAAAAAGGACAAAAAAATAAAAAGAAAAGAACTTAATTAAGCAAATAAGGTCTAGAACTTAAATGTAATCATTATTTTAGCTTAACTCCCTCCTATCCTCAGAATACCACCCCCAAAGAAAAGAAAGAACACACACACCCTTCTTTTGTTGTAAACAGGAGAGGGTTTTGTAAACTGAAGAGGAGGGTCTTCAAAAAGTTCATGGAAAGATTTGTGCTAACTTCTAATTCCATTTTTCCATGAACTTTCTGAAGTACCCTCGTGTGTGTTTGTGTGTCTACTGTGTAGAACGAAATAATGGTGATATATATGTTCTCATTTAACTAGGAGATATTTTTTTTCCTGGAACAGCATTTATAATTTATTCACAATATTGGTAACCATTCCTTCATATCTCTGTGAAGAGCGTCAGACAGGCTTCTTCACCCTTCATAAATGAGTTTATTTCTTGATTTGGCAGGTTTGGGAAAATGATTCCACTTTATGCAAACACCACTGAGGACAGAAGACTCAAGAAGGCAAGGACCAAGAAGAGCCAAAGGCGATGTGAGCCAAGACCTTTCAGAGGAGGGAGAGGGAGGAGGAATTAGTAAACACGGTAATCTATTCTTGAGAATTCTCTGATCTATTTAAAAGGAACATAAAACACAACTTTCATTAAGTGACTCTGTAAACGTACTATTTTTATAAATATACTTTTAATGCAAATTTACAAACAGTCCTTCCCTCCATCCCTCTCATACTTGTTGAGTGCCCACTAGGTACTAAGCACAATGCAAGACTCTGGGGATATCCACATTGATAAGTCATGGTCCCCACAGGTACACATGAACACAACTAACTAAAAAACTGCTAAGAAAATGATTAACTCTGAGAGAGGTAAAGGGCTGTATTGTGTCTCAGAGGGGATAACATTTGAACTTGCACTTGTCTAAAAGGATGAGTAAGATTCATTCAAACATTTTGAATGCCTAAGATGTAACCAGCACAGATAATGTAAAAACAATAGATAAAGAAATGAAAATATGATCCACGCCTTTGGTGAACTCAAGAGGTGGTGGGAAGAAGGGAACATTCCAGGCTCATTCCATGCAAGAGCAAAGGCACAGCAGCATAGGACACATAGCAGGCTGTGAAGACAGACAAAGGGCAGCCAGAAAGTGAGTCTAGAGACCAGACTAGGAAAGGTCTAGAATGTCAAGAAGCTTCAATTTTATTCTGGAGGCAGAATAACCCTTTGTGTCAGTATTCTCTCCCCAAATAAACTCACATTTCCTGAACAACTAATCCTTACAAGAAGTACAAAATTCACTAAATTACCCCGAGTGTATATAATGTCTAGTCAATTTAACCATCTCTTCTGTTGACTCCTGAAATAGTAATTTCCCTCAAAATACCTATAGCAGAAGGGGGAAATTGAGAGTAATTTTTCATGGCTAATGCTCCACGGAGGTCATCTATTTTATCAGTGTTCACTTAGATCTATAAGATTATCTATGTTATCTATATCCACTAAGATTATATATGTTTCTTTTCTTTCATATCCTAGACCCCAGTAAAGTAAAAGTAAATGAATTAAAAAGGTAAAAATCCACAAAAATCAGTATATGGTTAAAAAAAAAAGTGAACAAAAAATGTGAAAGAAGGGCCGGCCCGGTGGCGCACTGCTACAGTGCGCCCCCGCCGAGGGTTTGGATCCCACATACAGACCAGTTCCCGCTCACTGGCTGAGCGAGGTGCTGGTGCAGCACCAAGGGTTGCGATCCCGTTGCCGGTCCCGGTCCGGTACGGGCGCGACACTGAGGGTTGCGTTGCCGGACATGAAAAAAGACAAAAAGGAAAAAAAAATGTGAAAGAAGCAGGAATAATACAGGAAACAGAGAAGAACTTTAAAGAAAATCCCTAGGGCCGGCCCAGTGGCGCAGTTGGTAGAGTGCAGTGCTTGGGAGCGCGGCGGCGCTCCTGCCGAGGGTTCGGATCCCATATAGAGACCGGTCCACTCATTGGTTGAGCATGGTGCGGGTGCGACACCGAGGGTTGTGATCCCGTTGCCGGTCCCGGTACGGGCGTGACACCGTTGGTTGAGCACGGTGCGGGTGCGACACCGAGGGTTGTGATCCCGTTGCCGGTCCCGGTACGGGCGTGACACCGAGGGTTGCGATCCTGTTACCGGTCACGAAAAAAGACAAAAAGGAAAAAAAAAAAATCCCTAATTAGCATCCTCAAATAGATTCACAAAAAAAGAACAGGATACTATTAAAAAAAAAAACTTAAAAGTAACAATTCCTATAAATTAAAAATTTATAAATAAAATTCCTATAAATTAAAAATTTATAAAATAGCAATTAAAAATTCAAAATAAATGTTAGAAGATAAAATATAATCGAAAATACAGATGAAAAAAAGACAAGAAACATAAGAAAAAAATAAGACATGAAGGATCAGTCCAACACCATAAAAGAAACAGCAGAAAGAACATGAGAAAAAGCCAGAAGACATTTTGTATAAGAATTAAGACAATCAAAAGTAAGAGTATAATAAAGATATTTTTGTATGTGCAAAGATTTGGAGAATTTATTTCCCACATATTCTTTCTTAGGAACTTACTTGAGGATGTGTACCAGCAAAATTAAGAAGTAACTTGAGAAAGAAGACAACATGGGAACCAGGAAAACAGTGGCTTGAAATGTGGAAAGCAGGGGAGGAAGCTAATAGAAAATACAGGCATAGCTCAGAGATACTGTGGGTTCTGTTCCAAACCATCTCAGTAAAGCAAATATCACGATAAAGCAAGTCACACAATTTTTTTGTTTTCCTAGTACATATAAAAGTTATATTTATGTTACATTGTAGTCTATTAAGTGTTCTATAGCATTATGTCTTTAAAAAGTACATACCTTAATTAAAAAATACTTTATTGCTAAAAATGCTAATAGTTATCTGAGCCTTCAGTGAGTCATAATCTTTTTGCTGGTGGAGGGTCTTGCTTCAGTGTTGATGGCTGCTGACTGATCACGGTTGTGGTTGCTGACGTTTGGGGTGGCTGTGGCAATTTGTTAAAATAAGACAACAATAAAGTTTGCCAGATTGATTGACTCTTCCTTTCATGAAAGATTTCTCTGTGACATGCCATGCTGTTTGATAGAATTTTACCCTCAATAAAATTTCTTTCAAAATTGGAGTCAATCCTCTCACACCCTGCCACTGCCTTATCAACTAAGTTTATGTAACGTTCTAAGTCCTTTCTTGTCATTTCAACAATGTTCACAGCATCTTCACCAAGAGCAGATTCCATCTCAAGAAACCACTTTCTTTGCTCATCCATAAGAAGCAACTCCTCATCTGCTAAAGTTTGACCATAAGAGTGCAGCAATTCAGTCACATCTTCGGGTTCCACTTCTAATTCTAGTTCTCTTGCTATCTCCACCACATCTGCAGGTACTTCCTCCACCAAAGTCTTGAACCCCTCAAAGTCATTTGTGAGGGTTGGAATCAACTTCTCCCAAATGCTTGTTCTTGCCAATATTTTTACCTCATCCCATTAATTAGGAATGTCCTTAATAGCATCTAGAATGGTTAATCTTTTCCAGAAGGTTTTCAACTTACTTCGTCCAGATTTATCCAAGGAATCACTATCTATGGTATCTTTAGTCTTACAAAGAATATTTCTTACATAATAATAAGACCTGAAAGTTGAAATGACTCCTTGATCTATGGGCTGCAGAGGGGATGCTGTGTTAGCAGGCATGAGAACAACATTCATTTCCTAGTACATCTTCATCAGAGCTCTTGGTGACTAGGTGCATTGTCAATGAGCAGTAATATTTTTAAAGGAATCTTTTTTTTCTATGCAGTAGGTTTCAACGGCAGGCTTAGAATATTCAGTAAGCTGTGGTGTAAATAAATGTGCTGTCATCCAGGCTTTTTTGTTAAATTTATAGAGCATGGGCAGAGTAGATGTAGCATAATTCCTAAGGGATCTAAGATTTTTGGAATGGTAA